AATCCTAGGTTTTTTATTAAATTATTATAAAATTTTTATTTAAATCCTAAATACAGTGCAGTATTGGTTTCAGGAGTAGAATTCAGCAATTCATCACTTCCATACAACACCCAGTGCTCATTATAACAAGTGCCCTCCTTAGTACCCATCACCCATCCAGCCCATCCCCGCACCCACATTCCCTCCAAGAACCCTCAGTTTGTTCTCTATTGTTAAGAGTCTCTTACGGTTTGTTTCCTTCTCTCTTTTTTTCCACTCCCATATGTTCATCTGTTTTGTTTCTTAAATTCCACATATGGGGGAAATCATATGACATTTGTCTTTCTCTGCCTGACTTATTTCGCTTAGCATAATATACTCTAACTCCATCCACATCATTACAAATGGCAAGATTTCATTATTTTTGATGGATGAGTAATATTTGTGTGTGTGTGTGTGTGTGTATGTACATACCATATCTTCTTTATCCATTCATCATTCAATGGATATTTGGGCTCCTCCATAGTTTGGCTGTTGTTGATAATGCCGCTATAAACATCAGGATGCATGTACCCCTTTGACTATTTTTGTATCCTTTCCGTAAATATATAGAAGTGCAATTGCTGGATCGTAGGGTGGTTCAATTTTTGGGTTTTTGAGGAGCCGCCGTACTGTTTCCAGAGTGGCTACACCAATTTGCATTCTCACCAACAGTGCAAGAAGGCTCTGCTTTCTCCATATCTTGGCTAACACCTTGTTGTTTCCTGTGTTGTTAATTTTAGCCATTCTGACAGGTGTTGCGTGGTTTCTCATTGTGTTTTTGATTTGTGTTTCCCTGATGAGTGATGTTGAGCATCTTTTCATGTGTCTGTTAGCCAGTTGGATGTCTTCTTTGGAAAAATATCTATTCATGTCTTTTGCCTGTTTCTTAACTGGATTGTTTTTTGCATGTTGAGTTTGAAAAATTCTTTATAGATTTTGGTTTCCAACCCTTTATCAGATATGTCATTTGCAAATATCTTCTCCCATTCCATAGGCTGCCTTTTAGTTTTGTTGATTGTTTCCTTCACTGTGCAGAAGCTTTTTATCTTCATGAAGTCCCAGTTCATTTTTGCTTTTGTTTCCTTTGCCTCTGGCAAAAGGAAATAGTCAGAAGTTGCTATGGCCAAGCTCAAAGAGGTTGCTTCCTGTGTTCTCCTCTAGGGTTTTGATGGTTTCCTGTCTCTCGCGTTTAGGTCTTTCATCCATTTGGAATTTATTTTTGTATATGGTGTAAGAAAGTGATCCCGTTTCATTCTTTTGCATGTTGCTGTCCGGTTTTCCCAATACCATATGCTAAAGAGACTGTCGTTTTTTATATTGGATATTCTTTCCTGCTTTGTCGAAGATTAGTTGACCATATAGTTGTGGGTCTATTTCTGGGTTGTCTATTTTGTTCTATTGATCGATCTGTCTGTTTTTGTGCCAGTACCATACTGTCTTGATGACTACAGCTTTGTAATATAGTTTGAAGTCTGTAATTATTATGCCTCCAGCTTTGCTTTGCTTTTTCAGGATCGCGTTGGCTATTCAGGGTCTTTTGTGTTTCCATACAGATTTTAGAATTGTTTTCCCTAGCTCTGTTAAAAATGCTGGTGGTCTCACACTGTCTCTCTCTCTCCTAGAAATAAATAAAAAAATATATTTAAAAAAATGCTGGTGGTATTTTGATAGGGATTGCATTAAATGTGTAGATTGCTTTAGGTAGTATAGACATTTTAACAATATTTGTCCTTCCAGTCCTTGAACATGGAATGTTTTTCCATTTATTTGTGTCCTCTTCAATTTCTTTCATGTGATCCATCGTTTTCAGTGTATACATTTTGTACCTCTTTGGTTAGGTTTATTCCTAGGTATCTTGTAGTTTTTGGTGCAATTGCAAATGGGATCAATTCCTGGACTTCTTTTTCTGCTGTTCATAATTGGCGTGTAGAAATGCAGCGGATTTCTGAGCGTTGATTTTATATCCTACATCTTTGCTGAATTCATGTATTAGTTCTAGCAACTTTTTGGTGGAGTCTTTCAGGTTTTCTACATAGAGTATTATGTCATCTGCAGATAGTGAAGTTTGACTTCTTCCTTGCCAATTTGGATGCCTTTTGTTTCTTTTTGTTGTCTGATTGCTGAAGCTAAGACATCCAGCACTATGTTAAATAGTAATGGTGAGAGTGGACATCCCTGTCTTGTTCCTGACCTTAGAGGAAAAGCTCTCAGCAAAAATACGTTTTCCAGTGGCACAAAAGAAATTAAGTGCTAAGCAGGCGAAATGGAGGAAGAAGGCATGAATGTGTCTTTTGATTTGAGAATAAACTGGACTTTTCAAGGCATTTTTGTGAGTGGCAAATAGGATGCAAGCTTGCACCACAGCTTTTATCTAGACTGTTGACTCTTCATTTATGTACTGTTCATTGAATCTGTGGGCTCAGGAAAGGTGTAGGGAAGCTTTTTATTGCAGATATTTGTTTGCAATGAAAACTGGTAATGGTGATCTAAATATTGTCCAATATAGCAGGGCTTTAGAAGTTAACTTAATTATTTATTAGTTTTATGTTTATACTCATTATATATTGTATTAACTATATATAAATGCATATTAATTATTTATAAAAATATATAATTATACATTAATATAATTAATCATATTAGTTAATATATAATTATATAAATTATATATATTATTTAATATATAAAATTTAAAGTGAAAAGCAGAACCACTTCTAAAACCATGCCTAGGATTCCAGTGCTTAATATCTCCAGAATAAATTAAAGCCAAGTGTGTGAGAATAAAAATGCAATGTAAGAATAAAAGAATGAGATTTTTGGCCGGGATATGTATCCAGAATACGGTATCAAAGTGACCAACAAGGGAAAACTGAATTTGATGACTCAGTGCATTCTCACAATCTAAAATCTCTTGCTGAGGAAATAATGTATAATTTTTCTATTTTTTTTAATGTTTTATTTATTTTTGAGAGAGAGAGAGATAGAGACAGCGTGAGCAGGGAAAGGTCAGATAGAGGGAGACACAGAATCTGAAGCAGGCTGCAGGCTCTGAGCTAGCTGTCAGCACAGAGCCCGATGCGGGGCTCGAACCCCGAAGCAGCGAGATCATGACCTGAGCCGAAGTCGGACGCTTAACCAACTGAGCCACCCAGGTGCCCCTAATTTTTCTATTTTAAAATCATCAAGAATCTCATATGTCTCATGCACTATACTGGTCATGGAAACATCTGTGACTCCCACTTTGGGTGAAAATAGTATGTTAATTATGTTAAAGCTTATCTGCAGTAATAAAGCGATTATAAGGTAAAGTGACTTAAATACCGAAGAATTTTATTCCTCTCTCGGATAAAGTTGCTAATATCACAGCCCTTTGGGGAACCTTGTTGCTCATGTTTATTCAGGAATCCAGGTTCCTTCCATTACATAACCCTGCCATCTCTTGTGTGTGTGTGTGTGTGTGTGTGTAGCATCTGCACATTTGTATCTATGTTGTTACCAAGTCCAGTTTTTAGTTAGCAAGAAGACAGAAGAGAGTATAGAGAAAACATGCCTACTGTCTTAGTGATCTGGCTTGAAAGTGGCAGCCATCATATTCTGTCATGTTCTGTTGATGAGAGCGTTGTCACATGGCCACACCAGTTTTCAAAGGAGGCTGAGAAATGTTATATGACTGAGTGGCCACATGGCTGGCTACTTCCCTGTTATTGCAAAAGAGTGGTGAAATAGGTTCTAATGGACAGCTTTCAGTCTACCAGAGATAGCTGTTTTTCTCTCTGATTTTATGCTTCTTGTTAGATATGTATGATTTTAGGTCCAAGAAAACAATTACACCTAGATGGAGAGTTGGAGCATGGATATCTGTTTATTGTTTATACAGGCCAGGATGGCTGTGACCCCAGTCTTTTTCCTATAGGCATGAGTAAGTTTTCCTCAGTTTTATGGAGATTGACGTACATCACTGTATAGGTTTAAGGGCTACTGCATCATGATCTAACTTAAATGCATTGTAAATGATCAGCACAATAAGTTTAGTTAAAACCCATTGTATAGAGATACCAAAAAAAAGGTGTTTTTTTTTCCTTGTAATGAGAACTTTCAGTATCTACTGTGTTGGCAAATTAAATTGGTTTTTTGGATCACATTAATTTGGTCTTGTTGCTAATAAGCAAAAGGGAACAAGATTAGTGAAGATTTAGAATCATAAGCTAATGAGGAATTAGACTCTGAATCACCCCCTCCAAACCTTGTCTCTCCACAGATATTTTCCCTTAAAACATTTGTCTTTTTAATCTTCAGTCCACCCTACTTTACGTCCAAGCATCCTACCAAAATAGAGCTAGATTGCTTCTGTTGAACTCCAATCTCCAACACTTAATATCTTATGTTTTAGGGCAAATTACACATATAACCATTCTGAGCTTCACATTCCTTATCTACGATAGATAGATAATAATAGAAATACCTTATAATAGAAAACCCCTCAAAGGGCTTTTGAAAGGATTGAGTGAGTGAGTGAGTCTGTGTTTCTTTTTTTTTTCCTTTTTCCTTTTTTAATGTTTATCTTTTGAGAGAAAGAGAGAGAGTGCGAGTGGGGGAAGGGCAGAGAGAGAGACACACACACACAGAATCCAAAGCAGCCTCCAGGATCCAAGCGGTCAGCACAGAGCTTGATGTGGGGCTCGAACTTGTGAGCCACAAGATCATAACCTTAGCTGAAGTCAGACGCTTAACCAACTAAGCCACCCAGATGCCCCAGTGTGTGTGCGTGTATTTCTTAGAACAATGCTTGGAACATCCTAAGTGTTATGCAGGAACTTGGCACATAATACGTGCTATATGTGTATTTCTTGTTATCACTGTAATTATCATCATCGTACGCACTGGTTTCCCTGTGTTCAATTCGGATTAGCTTATTTGTACCTTTTAATACCTTGCTATCTATTCTTTGTGTCAATTTTGCTTTTTCTTTTTCTTTTTAGATGCGAGGTTTGGGATTAAGACCCCACAAAAAAGAATTTCTGGAAAAGGTTCATTTCATAGTGAAATGGAGGAGGAAGATACAAGAGATGATTCATTGTATTCCATTTTAGAAGAACTGTGGCCAGATTCTGAACAGATAAAACGATATCAGGAAAAACAGAGCAAACCTCTGAGTCATGCTGTTTTCATCAATAAGAAAATATTGAATACAGAGTGGGAGTTTGAATATAAAGACAGTGGAAAATTTGTGCCTTCAAGCCCAAATTGTATTCCTTCACAGAAAAGGCCCCATAAATGTGACTCATTTGGAAAGAGTTTTAAGCAGAATTTAGACTTGCACACTCCGAGTAAAAACACTGCAACGAAAAACTTTGATAAAAATACTGGACGTGGTCAAGTTTTCACTCAGAGCTCGTACACTAGCCTTGCAAATACTCCTACAGGAGAGCAACTCTGTGAAAGTAGTCAGCGTGGAAAAGTCCTCAGCCTTAAACAAGCATTCAGTCACAATCTGAAATTTCCTGCTGGGGAGAAAGCAGATATGTGTACTGAGTTTGGGAAGATCTTCACCCAGAAGCCACACCTCTTTGCACCCCAGAGACTCCATACTGTGGAAAAACCTCACGAACTTGGCAAATGTGTGAATGTTTTTCCACAGAAGCCACTACTCAGTATATATCTGAGAGTTCATAGAGATGAAAAACTGTATGTATGTCCTGACTGTGGGAAGGCATTCATCCAGAATTCAGAATTAATTATGCATAAGAAAACTCATACTAGAGAAAAACCCTATAAGTGCAGTGAATGTGGAAAATCATTTTTCCAGGTGTCATCTCTACTTAGGCATCAGACCACTCATACTGGAGAAAAACTCTATGAATGCAGTGAATGTGGGAAAGGCTTCTCCCTGAACTCAGCCCTCAATGTGCACCAGAAAATTCATACTGGGGAGAGACACCACAAATGCAGTGAGTGTGGGAAAGCCTTTACCCAAAAATCAACACTCAGGATGCATCAGCGAATTCACACAGGAGAGAGATCTTATATATGTACTGAATGTGGGCAGGCCTTCATCCAGAAGGCACACTTGATTGCCCATCAAAGAATTCATACTGGAGAGAAGCCTTATGAATGCAGTGACTGTGGGAAGTCTTTCCCTTCTAAATCACAACTTCAGATGCATAAGCGAATTCACACAGGAGAGAAACCCTATATATGCACTGAATGCGGGAAGGCCTTTACCAACAGATCAAATCTCAATACTCACCAGAAATCTCATACTGGAGAGAAGTCTTATATATGCGCTGAATGTGGAAAGGCCTTCACTGACCGGTCAAATTTCAATAAACACCAGACCATTCATACTGGAGAGAAACCCTATGTTTGTGCCGACTGTGGCAGAGCCTTCATCCAGAAGTCGGAGTTAATTACACATCAGAGAATTCATACGACAGAGAAGCCTTATAAATGTCCTGAGTGTGAGAAATCCTTCTCCAAGAAACCACATCTCAAAGTTCATCAGCGAATCCACACAGGAGAGAAACCATACATGTGTGCTGAATGTGGGAAGGCCTTCACTGACAGGTCAAATTTCAATAAACACCAGACAATTCATACTGGAGAGAAACCCTATAAATGCAGTGACTGTGGAAAGGGCTTCACTCAGAAGTCAGTTCTGAGTATGCATCGCAATATTCATACATGAAAGTAACCGTGTTTCTTAAAAATGAGAAAGCCTTATCACAAAAGTCAGGTCTACGTGTATATTATGAAACCTATCCAAGACAGACCCTACATGAACACACTGCATGATAAAAAGCTTTTGTCAGACTCTCTCACCTGAGATGAGAAAAACTATTCAAGAGACCGTCTAAGAATGCATTGATTCAAGGGGACTTTTCATATTTGCAAGGCTTCACAAAATAGAATTGAATCCTGTCAATTTGGGGAAAATGCTGTCAATTTGATGCATTAGGTAAAGCCCTCCTGTAGAAAGTGTGATAAGGCAGATTGTTGTCAAATTCCTTATAGATGGAATGAGCAAATTTATGTAAATGACACTCATGTTTACTGTGTTTTATTAAGCAATTTAAAGTGGCAACAAAATGAAAGGAAGAACAACAAAATAATGTATTTGATGTGTAGACCTATGCTCAGTTCTGTAGGGTGTTTGTGGCAGAACACATTGCACAACAGAAGGAATAATTGAATTGAAATTCTTTTTTGAATTTAAAATAATTGTGTCTGTCAAATATATTTCCTATTGAATCCTCCCACAAATCCACAGTTTTAATGTCACTATAGTTTTATGTAGGCCCATATCTGGAGATATACTCTTACATGAACACATAAATATAATCCTATCATTCATTTCCATGTTGGTTTCCACAACATTCTGTTTTTATCCTCTTTCATTGTGGTACAATGCAAAATAGCCACAGACCTCTCTCATCCATTTATGTCCACCCTTCTGCAATGTTACTCTTTTTTTTCTTTTACTAAGAGGTAGAGCTCTGTCTACTCCTTGACTCTCAGCTTGGCCATGGGATTTGCTTTGGCCAAGGTCCATTGGCAAAGAGATTCAAGAAGAGGCTGGAGAAAAGTCTGCCTGGAGGCTTATCTTCTCTTGCTGCTTTTTGGAATTCTGAGATCTTCCTGTGAAGAAACTCAAGAGTACCTAGCTGGAGGGTGAGAAACCACATGGAACAGAGAGGAGCCAGCACAGATGAGGCCTCTTAGACCAACTGCCAGACATGAGAGTGAGGCCTTCCTCAACCTCCAGCCCCAGCCAAACTGGCCCACACCAAAAGAGCCATACAGTTAGCCCAGCCAACCAGAATTATGGGATAAATAAAATGGTTCTTGTCTTAAGCCGCTAAGTTTTTGGTAGTTTGTTGCACAGAAAATGCTAATACCTAAAAGTGTATGCTTGTGGGGGGGTATTGTACCAAAACATAAGACATGTGGCATTAGCTTTGGGCCTGAACAGCAGGTGGAGGATGGAAAAACAATGAGGAAAACTGTTAAGAAAGGCTGAAAAAGATGGCAGCTTATGTTATTTACTAAGGAAAAGAAGAGCAAAACATTCGCCATGCTCTGTGAGAAGATAGAGAATATACCAGATGAACTTGTGGATCTGGCTAAGGAGATTTCCAACAGAATGTTGGAAATACCAATTGGCTGCTTTTAAGCTGCATATGGTAAGGTAAAAAAAGAGATGAACTAAGGAAATAACTCTTCCGTTTGCAAGCAGAATTCAGAAGAAATCTATAAAAAGCCAGGACTTTCTGGGTTGGAAAATAACTATTTCTCACATCTCCAATCTTTCAGGCCATCAAAATATTCTCAAGGTGAAAAAATGGCCTCAGGGTAGAGATCAAATCATGGGTGTGGCTATAAGACCCTTTGTTAAAATGTGTGAAATATTTAAGTTGGTGTTTGGGAGACTTTCAGCTAAACCATATGGCTTCTAAAAACTTGACGACATCGTCCAGTACTCTGACACATTGATGAAGTAGAGAAGGGGCCTGTCTTAAAAAGAATGTCAGTGTGGCATTTGGGGCATGGAAGTAAATACAAACCAGATTCATAGAACACCTATAAAGTTTCTAATAGAGCTTTATTACCTCCAGGTTGCACTCACAGGAATTGAAACAGTCCAAAATGAATGGACTACTTTCTCTAACTTCTATGAACATGAAGCAAACAGAGAAAGTTACTCAGCTGCCATTTCTTATGAGAAAAGAAGGATGTCTCAGAAAGAAGACCCAAGAACAATATGTTAAAATGGACTGGGAAGCTATTCCCAGGTAGAACTGTGACCCAGTCAAGAAACATCTTCCCCTGGAGCAGGGAGACCTGACATTTGCTCTGTGGGATTTCAAGATTGTTATGGAACAGTGACTAATATGTGCTTCTGTGCCTCTTGTTCCTCCCTTCTTTTAAGTGAGAGTATCTATTGCAGTTCTCCAGTCCCTATCTTACGTGTGTGTGTGTGTGTGTGTGTGTGTGTGTGTGTGTGTGTGTGTGTGTGTGATGGTCGTATAACTTACCATTTAGCTCATAGGTCTCTGGATCAAGAAACTGATTGCACCCAAGGAGCTTCAGCCACATCTGAACCTGATACAGAAGACTTGAGGTCCTGGATTTGATGCCATAATTTGGGATGAGACATTTGGAGGTCTTGGAATGAGGGTGAACATATTTTGCATGGTGTGATATATAGTGACCAGAAGATAGTGTTAGATAGAAAAATGTTACAAAGTTCTACCATCCCTATATGTGTGTCCCTTTACAATCTTTATTTTGCTTTGTGTTTCAGTTGGGATAATTTCTATTAACCTATGTTCAAGTTCACTAATTTTAACCCCTTCCCTGTTAGATCTGTTTTACCCCTACTTCTATTAAGTCTGCTGATGAACCCATGAAGGGCATTCTTCATCTCAGTTGTGTTTTCTTTTTATTTCTAGCATTTCCATTTGGCTCTTAGAGTTTTCATTTTTCTGCTGAAATTCCCCATCTGTTCATACCTGTTGTTTACACTTCCCACCATCCTCTCTAATATATTAATCATTGTTATTTTAAATTTCCTATTTGACAGTATTAACTGGGTCAGCTGAGTCTGGATTGTTTTTTTTATTGCTCTGTCTCTTAACAGCAGATTATTTATTCTTGCTGTTTTGCATCTAATAATTGTTGGCTGAATGTCAGATACTGTATGTAGGAGAGTAGAAGCTGCGATAAATAATATTTGTTCGTGGAAATAATCATGGCTGCTTTTAATAAATCAATAGAGGGGGAGAGGGGGTCCATCTAGTCAAAATTTGGGCTGGATTTAGGTTTTGTTGTTTCTGTGGTTATCTTCATTGCACCATAGACTTCAAATTTCTCTAGTATTACCTTGGGCTTAAGGTAGGCACTGGTTTTCCAGATAATTTTTCTCAATACTTTTACACCACCCTTGCCTTTAAGCCTTTCCTGTGTGCCTGCATCTCGGGGAGGATCTCTCTCCATTCCCTTGTCTCTCCCTCAGTAGTAGACTGCTGTTATTATTTGAGTCTTAGTGACCTGACCAGTAGGGGGCAGGAGTTGTTCTGAACCAATCCTAGTTTTAGGCAGGCCCTGTATTCCTAGGTCTCGAGGGTGGGGCTTTTTCAGTGATCCTGCACTTCCCCATTGGTAAAACGCCTTTAATGGTCTGATCTTAGGATGACTAACTGCCCTGCCCCCAAGAATGGAAGTTGGTTTGTTTTGGGTTTTTTTTCCTTTTTTCTTTCGCCACAGGTGCATCTGCACCTGTGTCCTGGGAACAACAGGGTTTGCATCACTTCCCCTTAAGTGGCATAAGGCTTTTGTTCATTAGGGAAGTAGGGTCTCATTGGGGCTTCATGCCATTTCTGTATCAGCAAACTTTCCCCTTGCAGGCCTACACCCCTGAGAGAGGCTTTCTCCAGTCTCTTTCCCTACCCCCATTATTTCTTGTGAGCATCCGGTGGAGGTCTGTGGGGAAGAGCCTGCAAGAGAAGCCCAACTACCCTTAGGTCTCCAGCCCTCAATGTTTCTGTATTCTCATACTATCCCACACTCAGCCTTTAGAACTTCATTAAAACTTCTTGCTGAAATTTTAACTGCTGGTATGGTGGACCCACCCTCCTCCTTGCTTTGCCACAGGTGACCCAGGGACAACTTTGTGTCTCCCTCGAGGCACTTATCTTATATATAAGCTAGTTGATTGCTCCATGATCTTAGTTCTCTGATGAGTTCAAGAAAAGTTATGATTTTGTAGATTGACCATATTTTTTCTTATTGTAAGAGTGGGAGCTACGCTCTTTATATTTGTCTATATTCTAGGCAGAAGCCAGAAGTCTAGATGGTCTCCTTTGGCCACTATGATCAGAATATATGCCTTCCTTTCAATTTGACTCTTCTACTTCACCCATCGAGAGTCTCTTTCTCCAACCCTTGTAATTGGGCTGGCCATTTCTTTGGCCAATGGTACATTAGCAAATATGAAGCAAGTAGAGATTTGAGAAGTGCTTACACATTGAGGTTTGCCCACTCTTGCTCCTCTTTGGAATCCTAAGGCCAAGGGTTGTGCTATTAGATGATGAGAGACTTCATGGAGCAGTGATGGAACAGAAATGAACCATCCCAGTTAAGGTACACTACACCAACCAGATTTTCATCTACCAGACATGCAAATGAAGCTATAGTGGCCATCCAACCCTGATCAAGCCCACTGTGGTCCGTGGCATCTGAGATGACCCTGCATGATCCACACTTCCTGGCATCCACACCTTTGTATGATCCCCTTCTCAAGCTTGGGCTGGATTTAGTGACTTGGTTCTAATAAATAGAATGAGGCTAAGGAAATGGTATGTTACCTCCAAGGTGAGGTTACAGAGAGACTGTGGCTTCTGTTTCGGGTACTCTTTCAGATGGCTCACCCTAGGGGAAGCCAGTTGCCATCTCATGATGCAAATCTATGGAAAGACCCATGTGAGTGAGTTTGGGAACATATACTCCTAGTCTAGCCTTCAGGTGAGACCTTAGCCCCAAATGACAGCTTGACTTCAGCCTTTTGAAGATCTTCAGCCAGAGGCACCCTTCTGAGCCTCACTTGAATTGCTGACCCACAGAAACTGTGAGATAATAAATATTTTTTGTTTTAAGCTGCAAATTTTTAGGGTAACCTGTTACATATTAATAGATTAGTAATACACTGACCCAGACTAGAAAAGCTCTGACATCCATCTCACCCATCCCAGACAATCACAGAATCATGGGTTACATATTGTTTTAAGCCACTAAGTTTTGGGTGGCTTGTTACCCAGAAAAAGGTAACTAATACACTTACTATTTACTGGATTTCCTTCTCCACTATTCATCTCCAATAGATAACCAATACTAATCGACTACTATGAACACTTTCATGTTTTAATCTGTGCTCTTAATTATATATAGACATGTGTATGTTACCATGCTTATATTCAGAGAGAAGCTATATAAAAATTGGTTTTTTCTTGATTTTCAAATATGGGATCATGTCATACAACTATCTTTGCATCTTGCTTTATTACCCAACAATAACTATTTTGTTTTTTTTTAATTTTTTTTAATGTTTTATTTATTTCTAGGAGAGAGAAAGAGAGACAGCATGAGCAGGGGAGGGTCAGAGAGAGAGGGAGTTACAGACTCTGAAACAGGCTCCAGGCTCTGAGCTGGCAGTCAGCACAGAGCCCGACACGGGGCTCGAACCCACGAACTGTGAGATCATGACCTAAGCGAAAGTCGGACGCTGAACCGACTAAGCTACCCAGGCGCCCCAACAATAACTATTTTGAATGGTTGCATGATAGTTCATAGGGATGGATATGCAATAATTTATTTAACCTTTTTCTTATTAAGATTTATATACATGTCACATTTGGCTAAGATCAAGTGAAGATTTATACACACACACACACACACACACATACACACACACACACCCTGTTATTCAACCTTTTGTCACTAGGAACAATGCTGTTAAAAATATTGAGTTAATTTGCATAGTGGTTAGGTAGATGGGCTCAGGAACCTGTCTGCTAGGGCTTTAATCCTGGCTCTACTAGTTACTGGCTGTGTTACCTTAGGCAGGTTAGTTAACCTTTTTGTCCTATTTTCTTCAGCTGTAAAGATATTCACACTAGTACCTATCTTTTTTAAAAAAAAAATGTTTTTATTTATTTTTGAGAGAGAGCAAGGGAGCACGAGTGGGGGGGAGGCAGAGAGAGAGGGAGGCACAGAATCTGAAGCAGGATCCAGGCTCTGAGCTATCAGCACAGAGCCCGACACGGGGCTCGAACTCACAGACGATGAGATCATGACCT